CACTGCGGGAAACGGAGTGACGCAATGACAGACCCAACATGCGCTACTTTCTTGGAAATCTTAACATGGCAATAACAAAATTTTAAACAATTCTAAGCAGAGTCTTTAGTTGGTAGGATTATAAATACTTTAAATCTGGCTTTTCACTTCTGCTTCCTGAAAAGCTTCCTCCAATGCTAGTAGGTGTTTTTTTTTTTTTGCCATTTTTGAGAGACGGTGGCCACATAGAGACGATGGGGAAGCAGTTTAGAGGAAAATGCAGCTGAAGAAAGACCCTTGTCAGTCACCCAGAGCTGCAGTAGGACAGTTTAGATCAAAACATAGTTGGAATAGGCCAGTCAAAGCTGACCCAGTGAGAGCTGTGGCAAGACCTCTTTAAATGAATGTCCGCAGAAGCTCTCTATCCAACCTGAGTGAGCTTGAGTTGTTTAGCTTGAGTTGTATGCCAAAGTAGAATTAGTAGAATGTCAAAACAAATTCTTAAATTCACAGTGAACTGGAGGCAAAGTGTTATTCTTGTTAAAACACCCTCATGTCTAAAAGTTGGACCCTTTTTTTAAACTCAGCCTTTCACTTCCTGTCTTCTAATTCCTCCCAAAGGCCTGAGGCCACTGTGGTTGTTGTGTTGCAGTCATAAGACGCAGTTGGCTGTTTTTTTTTTTTTTGTTTGTTTTTTTTGTCACTCTGGGTAAAAGCTGATCAGGAACAGATATGTAATAAGATGTTTTATTTTTTTTTATTTTTACAAGTTTTTAACGTGTGCAACTTGGATACTCAGCTCTGTCGCTAAATTAATGCTAGCATTTATTGTCAAATTCTAATACTTTTTGGACAAACCTAATAAAAGTAATAAAGACTAAATTTAAATCCTGCTGGGTTTTTAGCACTGTATATGAATTGAACTTGCAAAGGAGAATGGCATGAAATAATCCCCCCCCCTGCTTTATATTTCAATAAATTAGGAATAGAAAATGAAATCATTTTTAAAAGGAACAAAACGGATCTCTCTTGTAAATTAAGATGTTGGGTCTCTAACATCTTTAGCCTGTGCAAATAAAGGTCAAAAATTACTTTTGTCAGTTTGTTGTTGTTCAGTATTGTAAAATCTAAATAAAAACCTGATACAATCTATTACTTCGTAGGACACTACTGATTTTGATTTAGATAAAAAAAAAAAACAAAAAAAAACAAATGTGTGTTAGATTAGATTTTAGATTTTAAGTTATCTAAATTTCTACAGTAGTAGTTTCAAAAGTTGAAAATTCTTTTAGAAGTTTAATTTTTGCAGCTTGTAGCAAATCTTTTCTGGAGCAAAACCAAAGAGGACAACTTTGACTCGCTGGGTTGTAAAGTTTGCTGCCTCCTGTTCCTCGTGATTACATGGAACGATAAAACCGTTTCCTTTCGAAACACCAGAATCCACCAATCCATCTCCTCCACAGGGTCGGAGTCCTTGAGGACGACTTCACCTGCCTGGGGATCCTGTGTGCCATCTTCTTCTTCCCTCTGGGCATCCTCTTCTGCTTTGCTCTGCGTCAGAGGAGGTGTCCCAACTGTGGAGCCACATTTGGCTAGAGGGACCAAACCGCAGCGCTCTCACGCACTTCTCACACGCATACATAGTTTATATATATATATAAAAATGATAATTTCAAAACGAATTAGTCAATGAAATCTGTTTTTCATCTGCAGGTTTAGGATGTATTTTATCACGAGTTTCCAGCTGTTGTCAGTGCCTTTGCTACATACAGAGTAATCAGATGCCATCAGTGTTTTTTTTTCTTGTAGATGTTTAAGGGATCTGAACAGATTATTTTTATAGTCAGAACCAATTAAACTTTTTTTTTTTTTTGTCTTAACATTTTTCTTTATTTGCTTGCTGCCGCCATCTTTTAGTTGACTTTGTACTTTGCTTTTTTTTTGTCAAATGTATGTATGGCTCAGTATGTTCCACGTAGGCATTGAGATAATGCTGTGATTTAAAGAAAAGAAAAAAAAGGATTACCTTATGGACATTACTTTCTCCGGCTCAAACAGTGGACTTATGCCTGACGAAGCATTTTGCCTGTTTTCTTTTTTTTTTGGTTGAGAATTTCTTGGGGCCATATTTTGCACTGACAGTTTGTCCAATGATGATTCTGCTGGGTTGAGCTTCTCCAGGGCCAATGCAGACCTCAGGTACACACAATCTGACATGCCCTCGACTTTTACGACTTTATCGTTTGACTTTGGATTTACTTTGTTTTTGTCAAAGCGCAAGCCCATCTTTCAACAATCTAGAGGATCGAGTAAAGGCTTGAAGTATCTTATATCCTCAGATTTTCACCTCCATATTTCTGTGACAAATCAACTTTCCTCCCGGCCAGACAATCAGCTGAGAATGTCCATGTCTTCCTGTGCTGCAGGATCCTGAAAAATGTTTTCATGTCGGAATAAGAAATAAAATTAAGATTACTGGTATGGAGAAGAAATAAGAAAAAGAAATGGTGTTAGAAAACACACTAAGCATGTTCTTATGATTGAGGTTCTTACTTTTATATGAGTTACTGTAATTAAAAAGTAATGCTATTTGTGTCTTGGATTTTTTTTTTTTTTTTGCAACTTTTAAAACCACAAACTTCTGTTTTTGCTTGCATGCAGATAAATATTATGGTCCTTATAAAACCCAGGCTTTCTGAAGTCACGTAACTGCACCATTTGTTAAAACACAGATGTACCGCGACTAAATATAAAACCACTTGAGTACGAGTGCTTCAGAAAACTTCTGTAAATGCCAAACTGAAGAAATAAATCTTTATTTGTTACATAGCAAATTATAAGGATGTGATGGATAAGCGTACATGTAGTTTTACCATCTGATGGTTGCACAGCTGGAATAAAGTACAGGTAAGTTATACTTTACCGTAAGTATGTAGTATTAAGGCACAAGTGTCCACATTACAAAAAAAGAAAATGGCCCAACAGGCATTGGATAACAGAGAATCTGTTAAATCTACAAGAGGACCAAAGCAAATCCTTCTGTGCCTTTAAGGACATTTTTACATAATCTTTCTCAAAACATGTCTGTAGTGATTTTCAACAGTTTACAGATTGAAGCCTGAAATGTAGTAGTCCTCCACAGTATTGTTCTCCAACCACAGAATGGTTTCTAGCAGTCAGACAAGCAACATCAACGGCATAAATACATCGCAAGATTCTCTTTGAGCAGTTTTAACTCATCCATGTCTCAAGTGCAAGTTAAGATGTGTTCATTTAAATCTCACCGACACAGACCGACTAAAATATAGGCATGGAAAATGTATATATCATAAATAGACAAACATCCGTTCGGTACTAAAATACTTAGTCTACCGTATCGGTTTGTAGCAGATTCAAATGGCCTTTTTCCCCCTCTCCGCCCCGACCCAGGAGAAACTGCTGGGTCAGAAGGGCAGAGGTCAAACGATGAGCTCGGAGATGGATGGAAATGTTGGAGTTCAGATGACGGGCGCAGAGCGATCGTTAGTCACAGTTGGTCGTAGCCTGACTGTTGCAAATGGATTTCCTCCGCTGTGAAGGGCAGACAAGATGCGCGGTTAAAGTAGTTTGAGTGCAACAAAAGCAAATGTTGATATTATGCAACCTACGCGAGGAAAGCAGGCGGAGGTCTCGAGGTGCCGTTAGACTGTGCAGCCTGTGGACAAAACACACACCTCATTATCTGCATTGCGGGCAAGCTCCATGTAAAAGTTCACAACGAAGCACAAAACCATGACGCGTTACAAAAAAAACGCACATGATGACAACCCCTTGCTGCCGACGTCACAGTTACACTGATCCAAATGTGGGCGAGTTTACAATCTGAAAACGGTTTTATGGACTGCACAAGAACGGACGGATGGATGAATGGGTTTGACGTCAGCGTGCAAAAACTGTTTGTTACGTCACACGGACTCATGTGGAACCTGGAGTTTCAAGAAATTCAAGTCTGCTACACAATGAACCATGTAAATGTTTCTGGTAGCAAGCTAGGTTTTATGATCCACTGAAAAAGCTTTTCTCTCTTAAGCCTTCCCACCTTTTGTCACATTACAACCACAATCAACTTAGTCCTACAGACCAACACGTAGTGGATAATTAAGAAGAGGAATGTGAAAGGTGAATGCATTTCATTCATTTATTTTGTGACATTTTTTTAAAGACCGGTCATCCTTTTCCTTCCACTTGGCAACTATGTGCTGCTTTGTGTTGGACTTTGACATCAACAGTTTTGTTTATTTTGAGGGAGAGAGGGGAAAGTAGGAATACTTTTCATTACTGCTAAAACTCTGGGATTACAAAACTTGGGTTTTAGTTTTGCGAGTTTATAATCCGTGAACACACTCTATAGGAATAAAAACAACGGACAAATGGGTCGGACGTTGCCATGCAAATACATGTTTTGTTGCGTCACACGTCAACTCGTGGAACCTGGAGTGTCTGGAAATTCAACTTTGCTCCACAATGACCAGCGTAAATGTCTGCCGTTACATGTTAGTCTTTATGCAAGTATGCATAAAAAGGGACAACAAATTTGTTATCGCTTCTTGATGCTACATCTTAGTGCCTTCCTGATCCTGTGCTTCTACTGAATCAAACGGGCAGACTTGAATGCCCTGGCTTGTAATAAGCTAATGTTTGTCCAAGCAGTCTTTTGCAATACTAACATTGTGCGCAGTGACTTTGAGATATATTGTGCAGCTCCAAGCAAAAGTATTTGGTGGATTTTAACTAGTAGTTATGCTTTCAGTCAACAGTCTGAAAGGCGTTTCAGCCTGCAGTGCCAAGAATGTCCAGAAGAGGGCAGAAGTGGATAGAAATTCCAAGGGCTCTGATCATTTTCTTCACTATACTCGTCAATACCCAGCTTACATATGCAAAAATGAAGTTTGCCCCTAGTCTTCTCTCTTGATTACTTGAGTGGCTCTCTCTTCTTCCTCATCTATTGATTCCTGTGACTTATCTTTTAAAAAAAAACAACAAAAAAAACAAAAACAAACGAAACCCAGTGAGGTTGCATTTTTTGTCATGGTGAAAGAGCATTCCAGGGTAACCTCACCTCTCCCCCTCCCCCACTGTGACATCTCTCTCTTCACACCTGATCTGGACCAACCTGCATCAGACTCATACAGATTGGGATCAGTTTTTGTCTCAAAGCGGATGAAAGAATGTGACAAAAAATATATATATACATATATATATATCTCAGGGTTTATCAGCTAGCAAGAAAAACAACACTTTACACTTACAGGTGACAAAAAATGTACACATTGGTAATTGTTGGAAAACAACAATACCTTATAAAAGTGAGGAAAATTCAAGATCGCTGCAGCTACAAGTTTTCTACCAACATAACAGCCACCCACTTGGACACTTCGCTGAACATAAACCAGCGTTTTATAATCTAATCTACAGTTGGAGATCTTTTCCCACACCAGTCTGTTCAGTAATCAGGCTCTCTGTGTGCTGCGGCAGAGGTTTGAAACTGAAAAAGGGTTAGGGTTATGAAGGGTTATGAAGATGGATGAACAAGCGAGTCAGATGTTGAAATGGCTGTGAGAAAAACTGAAAGAGGAATGAGCGGAAGAGATGGGAGAAAGGCATCAGGTTCATCGGAGTGAAATTCCAAAATAACTTCCAGCCAGTGACAGAAATTTGTGGGCCACAAAAACATTTGTGCCCTGCACAGTAAGTCTGTTGATAACACTGGATAAGATAATCAAAGCCAAATGAGAAAAAGGTTCTTTTCATACTATGGAATGATGTACACTGAATGTAAATCTGAAAGTGTTGCGAAATATGTGAAACACTTAACCGGCAGCATGCTGCTGCAGCAGGCAGTAAGCTATATGTTTACATGGTTTGTAAGTGATCATAAAGACTCATTTGACCCCGTCGTACTGCACACACATTTACATCCGTCCAGCTCAGAAAAATTAAAAAGCTTTGGCAGACGGAGAACCACAGCTTTGCCTGCGACTTTGCATACGATGCAAATGAAAGTTCATTTGGAAAGAAGTGAATGTGTTGGAACTGGAAACGGCTGTCAAAGAGCCATTGATCTGATGTTTTTTATTATTTATTTTTTTTTAAATGGATCTGGACTAGTCACTACGATGTTTCAAATGGTATTTTGAAAATCATTTTCTGGGAAAAATACTGTTAAAATAACAGGAATTAACAGGAAATGGACTGAAACTGAACAAGATGCATCATGGTGGTCCAGTGTTTTCTGTTCTTGGTAACCAAAACAAAAAAGGGCCAAAATGTATTTTTCTTTTGCTACTCGCTCACAATTGATAAGTAAACTATCCAAAGGATAAATAGCCTTAATTATCCTTCTCTTGTCCATACACAAAGTCCGCCTGTGTGTAATTTAATCTAACAACGGACCCAGCTGTTTGGTGATGGTTGTCCAGTGAACAAACACCATGTTTAGGAACAAGGAACCAAATCAGACACATCAGTTCTGCAGATTTCGTAATATGGGAACCTAAATTATGGCAAGCAGAGCAGCATAAAGAGAAGCTGGAGGAGCTGCAAAGATCCGAGAATCAGTCAAGAGGACCACTCTGACATGCACTCTTCAAATCCAGCCCTTACGGAAGAATGGCAAGAAGAAAGGTATTGCTGAAATAAAGTCCAGTTTGCAGTGTGGAGGGGAAAGAAGCTCATGACACCAAACCTTTTTGGCCTACATGAGATGGTAAACCAACAACCCGAGGATGTCATCGTCACACCAAAGCACTAATGTTGAAAGAGTGGTTTTCTTTTATCATCATATATAAAATATTGATTTTTACCTTTTGTTCCATTTCACAAAAAAAAATCAATTTTGTGCTGGTCTATTACATAAAATCCCCCCCATAAAAAAACATTTTAATTTGTGGTTGTAAAGTGACAAAATGAACAATTCCAGGTGCATTATTGCAACGGCACTGTTTCTTTCCCCTTTTTGCTTCTTTTTTTTTACCAGAACAGGCTAATCTACATGCAGACAGATGATTACAGTAACTGACATCAGATCTTCTTGGTTCTTCTTCCTTGTAATTTTCCTTAAAAAAAAAAAAAAAAAAAAAAAAACTGATTCTAACATGAATAATTGTAGTAATGCAACTTGAGGGAGGTGGGGATTTTTTCATTTTTAAATTGCTCACTGTAAAGTGAAGGTGCCAACTTCCTGAAGTATGACAAAATTCCTTTAACACCTGCAGTAAGAAACAGTTATCACACACAGATAAGGTGAGAATAAAAACAAAATCTCAGAAATAAAACAATAAATATGCACCCTGTGCAAGTTGAAAAATATTTGAACAGTTTATGACTTACTGAATCCTAATACTGGACTGTGTGTCGCCATGCTACACTGAGTATATCTGTTCGTGTTCCCTGGACAGACACATAAAGCTCATCTGACACCACCTACACACACATACAGGTACCTTCATCACCAGTCAAGATAAGGCTGTGCAGCTGAGGGTACTGTAGCCACGATGCTGCAGAAATCAAGTGAGACATAAACTTCACAAAGCCAACTGGGCCAGCACAGGAGAAAGCTTTGGCAGAACACAGCAGATTAGATTGTTCTGTACACGGTATCATTCTCAAAACAACTGATTTTTTATTTATTTTATTTTTTTTAAACTCTTGCTTTAACTGGACGAGACTCAACATTTCAAAGGACTCCGTTAAGAGCTGTGAAAATGTCGGAGAGATGGCCGCTGACCAAGTCTCCCGCCTGCTGACTCACCGCGTTCTGATCAGAGGAGGTGGAGGACGCTGCCGAGGGCGTGGGGGAGTGCTGGTGGTTATTTGTAGCGACGCCGACGGTGGACAGGGGTTTGCTCCTGATGTTGCAGTAGTCCGTCGGGGGAAGCACCATGGTGGCCTCGTCCGTCTCTGTGTCTTGGTGGTGGAGGTTGACCACGCTCCTGCTGCGGTGATGGGCAGTGGTCTCACTATGGAGAAACAGGCGGAGGAGGAGAGAAGAGAATTTTATTACCAAGTGGCTCCAAAATGCATTTTAAGTTTCCATTAAGGGGATAAAATTAAAACGCTAACTAGTCAGAAGTGTCAATCATGAAGTACATGGGTTTTGGATACATGAGTGTCATAGTATCATATTCATGATGACAATCGGCTAGTATATAAAAGTTCTGATTGTAACCAATGCCTGGCCAACTAACAACACATGTGAATAAGTTGCTCAGTCGAGGATTAACTGCCTAACCTTCTTTCTCACTTTCTTTTATCAGTTTTCCCAGAATGCAACTTTAAACAAATAGGAATCAAAAGTTGAGCAACAGGTGAGAACCCACAGGATTAGAAAGGTTATAACTTCAATAGGAGTAACTAGAGGAAACGCAGCCAACAATACAGCTGGCTGCAACATGAAACCTACTGGTATGTGTGCGTGTGTGTGTGTGTGCTGGCTGGAATGCAGAGTCCCCTTACCTGTTGTTATTCACGAGCTGCTCATTGACAGCGCGGCAGTAAGATGAAGGGAACCAGCCCCTCCTGAAACACAGAAACAAGGAAGGCGACTCAGAAATGTATAATGTCTGACTTCTCTACCGTCTCAGTTGCACCTAAAGGTCACTCAGAGCCATTGTTGAGGAACTTCCTCTATTGTCAATTTAAACAAAAGACACAGAGATCAAAGAAGTACTTGGATAAATTATTGTACTCTTTCGACAAATTAACCCTCGAAACCAAGACGGTTTGTAATGAACTAGATGTATTTTCCACAGGTTTAATAGGTCAATTCCTAAGGTTGATTGCATGATTTTGTTTATTATCCAATCAGCTTGAAACAGGCAGCCAGGTAAACACTATGGATAGTTACATGCTGCAGCAGTTTGAAATTTAACCTTCTTTTTTTTTTTTAAGTAGAGAACATGGACCTGGATTTAGATTAGAAATCTTATTTGTTCGGCCCAAAAAAAAAAACAACTTACTGATGACTCTAAAAAGATTAGTGTAGCTTTAACAAAACTCTGAATTAACCCAAGTATTTGAATGTTATAAGCAATGTGACCCAAAGCTAGTCTGTTTGTGATTGTTCTTCCATGGTGCAAGGTTGTGTTTAATCAGCATGTGAATTAGCCTCTCCCTTGCTGTGGATGTAGGTTAATATTTAAGTGTAAGATTTGGAGAACAGGGATTTTCTTTGTGTGTCAAAGATATTCTATGTTGTTGAGTCATACTCATGAATAAATGCTAGTGTTTACTCATGGTCTGGTGTTCACAAAAAGTAGAAAAATTAAATAAAACATTCACGTCCTTGACATGTGTTGCTACTAGCAACTAAAGTTCAGAAACACAGCTCCCTGTTTCAAATGGAGACAAATAAGCACAATACTATTAGTACCGCTCCGATGATTAGAAAGTGTTTTTAATCCTATTTTAGAGGCAGAAAACCCATATATATCGGAAACATGAAACATAAACAACATTCAATCTACAAAGAGATAACTTTGAAACAGTTTCAGACACAAAAAGAGGCCGAGGAGTCGCACAGCTCTAGGTGGATTATTAACACATATGGAAGACAAAGTGTCAAACTGCACAGCGTGATTGCCCTGAAAAAATACTCTTACCTTGGGGGGAAGGGGAAAATGAGTGTGTTTGCAAAACACAAAAATGATGGAGTGAGCACTCTTACATTCTAAAGAGATTCTATGTAGGAAAAGTGGGTGTGTTTCATGAAAGTAAATGAGGAAACATTCTGCCCCATAATTGTAAAACAGATGGAATATTAGCTTCAGTGGAGGAAAACCCTAACACTGTTGAGTGAGCTCACAACACACTATTATTATTATTAATTATTATTATTATTGTAACCAGGTGAAAAATGGATACATGTCAAATGTATTTTGTAAACCACGTTTTGCTTTTATTTCACCGACTGGTTGTAATTCTTGTTTTTGTCAGCATGTGGTGCTGTTGTTACAGAGAGGTCTAAAATTACCAGAAGTAGAAAAAAAACCTCTCGTTTATGTACCGTGGCACTCTCACTGGTAAAATGGAAGAGGAGGACAATTTTTGAGCCGAGACCTGTTGGAGAAGACGACTTTATGGTCACATGAGCGAAGAATCCAGATGTTCGAGGTGCCACTGCCGTTTGTTAGATTTCAGCTTTTATGTGAAGCTGCGTTGCTACTCTGTTGAGTGCTAACAGCGTTGTTAGCCCGCCATTTCACTGAACCTTAGGCTTTCTTCTGATAAAATACGGATCATTCATTTCTCCTTATATTGAACCTCATTCTTTTCATTTCTTTTGCAACTCAGAGGAAAAAGTGTTTTTTTGAAAATAAAGAACCCCTTTTATTTGAAGCTCCGTGTGCTCTATTAATAATTATTAATCCCGGCTTCATTCTTCTTCTTATTATTATTATTATTATTATTATGTTAAGATTTCCCCATCTATTTTGTGGTCAGGCATCAATGAGCTAAATGTGGCTATATGTATCTGCCGGAATGTTTCTAATTAATCTAATATTCCTCAATCCATTAGCAGCACTAGCATGTCTGAATGATTTTAGCCATCTCCAGATCAGCTGGTGGAAAACATTTGTCAGAAATGGTTTATTCTGCAAAGAAAGAAGCAACCAGCTACCTCCTGTGAGGCATGACACCCATCTCGACAAACATGATGAGAGACAACATTCAGGCCTTTGTGCGTTTTGGTTGAGCCTCTCCAGCAGCAACCAGAACAAAGTTTTCTTTGAGGCAGCAGCCTCACATTTGACAGCAACTCTGGAAGGATTGTTTTTTTTCTCAGGTAATTTCCCATGATAGGAAGTGAGATCAAGCCTAATGAATGATTAAAATTCAAACATGCTTTTCTGGGATTCGGAACAAATCTTTGTTTAAGAGTCAGAGATCTGGAGGGAGAGGACGCTTTGTTGTTGATTTTCTGTGTAGACAAACAGGTGGTGTTCTGAACTTATTCCTCAGCCTCACACACACACACACACACCTTCTGCTGTACATGCCACCCTCGGGCCTAGCTTTACCTTATCCCCTCATCTGTCAAGTTTACAGCTGAACCAGCAAAGACAAGTCCACAAAACCATGTAAGGAAATAAACATGGTCAGAATAACAACAAGACGACAGGCGAACTGAGGGCAGTGCACTACTCAAACTGATCTTGAGCGACCCGATCATGTCCAGGCAACTCTGAAGACGGGCAGGAAAAACACGAAACAATCACTCAGGATTATTTTATAAACTACCTTTCATCATGAGGAACAAAACCATAAGTTCACCTGAAAGATTTTCTTTATGTGCATTCAAATTTTGAAAGTTGAACAACAGTAACGTGATCAAGCTTATCTGCACGCAAAAACAAACAAACCCAGATCTGATTACTCAGGATGGATTCTGATACTTGGCGTGGCTTTGCTTGGTTGTCTTTTACTTGAATTGGTTAGGATGCAGATTAGAACCAGATATGAATATGGGCCACATTGAAGGGTGGAGGAATTTGGAGGAATTTTCCTGCCATAATCTTAGAGCACACATTTTCAGTCCGAAACCAGGGCTTCATGTCTTTTGTTCTCAAAACTTTTAATGCTTTTGCTTACATTTTTGATTTTGAAAGTAGGACTTCATATCTTTCTTCTCAAAACTTGTAATGATTGCACTCAAACCTTTCCTCACACTCACACTTAGCCTCTGCTTGGAGCAAATCTTCGCTTGCAAAACTCTCTGCTCGCTTGGTTATTAAAAGTTTTGAGAACAAAAGACAGGAAATCCTGCTTTCAGACTGAAAATGTGTGCTCTTGGATTATGGCAGAAAAACTCCTCCATATTCCTTTAGAGGAACAAGAGGAGTGGCTCATCATGACACAGTGAGTGAGAGGTGCCTCATCATGCCTCATTCTCAGAAAGGCAAGTGGTCATGAGCGCAAGACTAAATCAGGAGCTTCGCTTGCTAATCTCTTCTTGTAGTGGTGTGAGCTCTTCTTCAACGCCCATGAGAGTAGCAATTGCCATAACCTTATAGTTATTAATATTAACAGGAAGACTTTAAATGTAACCTGAGAAGCTGGTGTTGGGAGCTAATAAAATCCAGGATGTTCCTGGGTGAGTCACGCCCTTTCAGTTTTGGATACCGCTTTAAATTACACCAAAACAGTTTGGTAACTCACATCAACCAAACAAACAGCATGCAGTCAACACTCACTTTCCATTCTTTTCCATTTCGCCGTACATCCAACCGTCTCTCTCGTCAGGGATGAGCAGGATAATGATGTCTCCCTCATCAAAGCTGAGCAGCGTGCTGTTGTTGCCAGCAGCGTGGGGGAAGATGGTGCGCACCCGAGGCCTCCTCGCCATGCTGTTGAGACCCGTGGCGACGGACACAGACCTGGCAAGGTTGTTCTCGTCGCCGTTTTCATGGTCTGGGGGGGCGAAAAAAGGAAGAGAATAGTGAGAAATGGAGAAGACACACGAATATAACTAAAAAAAAACAGCTTATATTAGCTTTTAGAGGTGCGTATATTCAGCAGGTGTTGATAAGTAGCACTCAACACAGCACACGGCTGTTGAAATTGTTTTTAGTAATTTTTCAGGTGTCTAATCTTAAGTAAAAACACTTGTTAAACTCAGATTTAATAAACTACTTCAAAGTTAAAGTCCATCCTTTAAAGCCAGTGAATCAACTCTAATAGTAATTAGTTCAACAAATAAGCAGAGTTGCACACATGCAGCCATGTTAACCCTCTGATGCGTAAGTGGGTCCTTTTTGACCCGGTGAGGTCATCTTTTTGCAATATCTTTGTAATGAAAAGTTTTCATCACTTCATATTTCAGGTATTCCTCAAGAAACATGTTACTGATATTATGCAATTCAAATTTTTAATTTACCTTTTATACTTTTTAAGAAATAGCATGATTTATGTTACTACCCCATTCTTCCGTGAGTGGGTCCAAAATGACCTGAATTCATTTCCTATGGAATTTAATGGGAATCTTTGTTTCTTACCAACTGTGACTGTCAGGAAAACATTTTTTTGTGAACCAAACACATTGAGACCTAAGTGTCACCCCTGAGTAATAATATTTTACACAGCAAGAACTCTTACATATAAGTATTATCTTTATTTTTTATCTCACAAATGTGTTTGTGTGTGTCAATCATGAGTACTGTGACAATGTTATTGTCACGAATCAACATATTAGCCTTCTTCAAAGTTAGCCAACACTAGTTATCTAACCAACTAGCTAACATTACCACCTATTCTTTATTGTGCATGTGTATTATTTGTGTGTGTGTGTCTGACACCCTGGATGAGAAAACTAAGAGAGAATGTGTTGAATGACATGCAAAACCTGTTGATCAATGTGTTCAAGGTTCTTTCTTTTATCATCTCAATAAATAAAATAAAAATTCATAGCTATAGAAATAAATGCATAAATAAATGAGCCAGAAAAGTATAGAGTGCCTTCTTTGGGTCGGGGAGGATGTCCTGTCCCAAGTGGAGGAGTTCAAGTATCTCGGGATCTTGTTCACCAATGAGGGAAAAATGGAGCAGGAGATCGACAGGCAGATTGGTGCAGCGTCTGCAGTGAAGCGGGCGCTGTACCGATCTGTCGTGGTGAAGAGAGAGCTGAGCCAAAAAGCAAAGCTCTTGATTTACCGGTTGATCTACGTTCCTATCCTAGTCTATGGTCATGAGCGTTGGGTCATGTCCGAAAGGATGAGGTCACAGATACAAGCGGCCAAAATTAGTTTTCCCTGTAGGGTGTCTGGGCTAGAGATAGGGTGAGAAGGTCAGATATCCAGGAGAGACTCAGAGTAGAGCCGCTGCTCCTTCATGTCGAGAGGAGCCAGTTGAAGTGGCTCGGTATCTAGTCAGGATGCCTCCTGGACGCCTCTCTGGTGAGGTGTTCTGGGTACGTCCCACCAGGAGGAGGCCTGGGGAAGACCCAGGACACGCTGACGATGTTTCTCAGCTGGTCTGGGAGTGCCATGGGTTCCCCCAGAGAAGCTGGAACAAGTGGCTGGGGAGAGCAAACTCTGAGCCTCCTTACTTAGGCTGCTGACCCCACGACCCGACCACGGATAAACGGAAGATGGATGGATGGATGGATGGATGGATGGATGGATGGATGGATGGATGGATAAATAAATGCTCACACATACATACACTCAGATGTGTGATGTACACAGCATAATAGAATAGAGACAGTAATGTTAGCTAGCTTGGCTAGCTAGCTAGTTTCAAGAAACATGCTCTTTTGCAGCCCCCCATGCCCACACACACACACCCACACACATAATGGATGCTAACATTGTCCATTATTGACA